AGTGTAATAGCCTCTTTTGGCTATAAGAATGTTATTTTTGAGACATATTCTAAAGGAGTGGTGGAAGGATTGCATGACAAGAATGTATGGCCGGTACTTCAGATAATACATCAAGACATCCAACAGGGCCTAAGGAGTTTTGATAACTTCGACATCACATTCTATCCTCGGGAAGGAAATAAGGTGGCTGATCGAATAGCAAAAGAAGTTATCTCTATGGAGAACAATGCTCCTAGATTCATCAGCACCAACATGGTTGAAAGTTTGTATTGAGGCTGATAAGCCATAAGTGTATCTTACATCTATACTATATAAAAATTGAGGCTATAAGCTCTTAAAGGCGTCCACATATGATTAAATCAACCAATAGTGTTACGCCACGTCAAATATTTAAATTTAAGAAAGTTTCTTAATCATAAAATAGTGATGTAAATAAGAAATAAATTTATTAGATATGGAAATCTATTACAATTAGGATTCAAAAACATTAAAAGGAAATATATCTATTAGGAATTTATAATTTAGAAAGTAGTGTTGTGTTATATTAAATATTCAAATTAGATTTTTTTTTTGTTATAAAGTGTATTCTTCCCTCGGCAAATAAAATAGTGTTGTTAATATTCTATTTTATTGGTTTGCTCACGAATCATTGGGGTGTATAAACGAAAAAATATTAATTATTAATGAAACTAAGTTTGTTAATATTCTATTTTATAATTTCTTTTTACTTATAGTATAGCTAGGCAAAAATGTCAATCTAAGAAGTATATATACAGTGGCGGAGGCAGAAATTTTTTTCGTTGGAGGCATAAACTTTTTAAAAATATAAAAGTAAGGAAATATATATTAAAAACGATGTTGAAGCTTTGTTTTAAGTTCTGATAATCAATGAAATGAACCATATAATGGTGTAATATATTATTTGAGCTTGAAGTTAAAGATTTATTTTTATTTTTGGTCGAATGGGCCATAAAAAGTTTAATTTTAGGTTTAAAAATTTATTTTTATGAGTTGTGCAATTGGTGAAATAAAAGGATGAAGGTAAAATATATTAAACAAGTGGGGGCATTCAATTTTGGATTTGGTAATTTACACTAACCTAAAATATTTTGTTGGGTTCATTGGCTCCAACTTAATTAATGTGCCTCCGCCACTAATATATATGTGTAACATATTAAAATTTGTAAGTCTCTTCGATTTTTATGCCCTTAAAGAAGAATAGGAGAAGCAAATTCGGTTTAATGAAGGTAAAATCTTAAAGTTACACAATGTCATTTTTCTGTTTCGATTAAGTTTTGAACACTTACTGTTTAAATAAATTCAAACGATGGAAGAGGAGAAGCTAGAGAAAAGAAATGCAGTTATCAGTAATTCATGGAAATTTTTAAGAATCACACTGTTAGAACTTAGAAAGCAATAATGATGGTAACTTCAGATTCAAATTCTAGAATATTAAACTTTTTTCAAAGTTTGTCATCGGAATATTCTCTACTTAAATATTTATGCAATACTAAACTTTTTTTTTGTTCAAGCATAATTTATTGCACTCAAAATATAATTATGTGATGTCTTTGTTATTGCATAGTATCTAGAATCATATTGTACTTTCAATTGTTTTAAGAGTTTTAGATAAAAAAACACTCAACTACCGAGAGTAATCAGTAATCACCATGTTACAAGTTTTACATTAAGAGTACTAGAACAGTTTAGTCATTGGAATCTCAGAAAAGTATTTACATACTTAAGTGAAAGAAAGTAAATATCGATCATGGCAAAACCGCATACAAATTAGAGAGAAATATTATGTTTTAGGCTAAAAGTAAAAATAAAAATCATGAAAATATTTGTTTTTTAGTTATTTTGAATATCTTGAAGAGAGATGTCAACTATGTGTATGCAAATAAAAAAAAAAGCTTATATTTTCATATCTATATTTACGAATGTTATGGTAACTAAAGGTTCACCTTCAGACATTAACTATACCACAACTCGATGCACTTAATCATGGTTGGAAGGAGCATAAGATTTTTGAGAGTATGAATACAATTTAAGAATCAAAGCAAAAGAGGATATAAATGAAGCTAAGAGACCAAAATAACATATAATTTGTAGGGAGAGAAAAAAGTGGGTGCGTGTGTGTGAAGTGTTTGCGACTAAATTGGGATCTTGGTGAGCGATTTCATTGATTTCTTGAGTTTTTGCGACAATTAGAATAATTTTTGATAAATACATATCCACAAAGAAAAATGAATATCTCTTCTCCAAAAAATTGGAAAAGCATATGTTAACTTGAACGAACATTCTAATACCGCAACAATAATTTAAAATGATCGATGTAACGTAAGACAAGTGGATTGGGTGATTGTGGTCAAGAGATAGCTAAGAAATTTTTATTTAATTTGGGATTGCTCATGAAACCTAAGTTCTTAAGGTTGCTGAAACAAGAGAAGGAGTACTTCAAAGTCTTAGGGTCCCTTATCATTGTGAGATAATGTACTTCAAAACAAGGTGCACTAAAAAAAAAGAATACACGTAAGTTCAACTCTGTTTTAAAAAATCAAAATTTCATATCTAATGTATTCATACATGCTAATTTTATAAATAAGAAGTATACTGTATAGTTAGTTCTTAGTTATATTTGCGGAACAATTTAATAAATTCCATCATCATTCTAATATTTTGGGACTTAGAAGAGGATTGACTAAGTGTTATTGGAAGAAGAACAAAACTGTAAAAATACATCGATAAACTTTCATTCGTTGTTTTATTGAATAATCAAAATAAATACATAAAATGAAAAATTATCACGTGTTGTTTTC